TTTATGTTTACAGACGTGACGTAATGACGCAGTGCCATGCTTGAATTTCCTGCGAAAACCTACCCGTACCACTCAAATTAGAAAACATTATTATAAACTGACCGTTGTGAATCGGGCTAAAGTAAGGCGATAGTTTTGAACACTGGCTGGTTATATACTTGCTCAAGTATTGATTTTGGATCATTTTTAACCAAAAAAAGTTACGGACTGCAGCTTTATTTAAGTATGCACAAAAAGGTGTTAATATTAATTTACTAGACAACCAGTTGCCATTGGAAAATTAAGTAAATAAGCTTCCCTCCACACCAAAAAAATATAAATATACTGTACTAGTTAAAACCTAAACATAAGTGACATACATGTTTTCTTTTGTTCAGTTAACTTGTATTAAAAGTCTATGTGTAACCCAGATATTTCATATATGCCCAACTTTTATTTTATTTTTTTTATTTGGGGTGAAAAGTATTTACTTTTAGGCAACATATTTCCTAACATTTTGTAAGTAGAGTCACCTAATTATATATTAAAATGTTTTGTACAGTGCAATGTGCATACAGTAATTTTTATAGTGTTTACTCGATGCACAGGGATTTTAGCAGCACTTAATTCTGTTCTGTGCCCAGTGACCTAATGCAAAGGTAATAATGATGCATCAGTTAATAAACCATTATCACTACACTTACACTGGTGTTCTCTTTCTTAGGAAACCGAAGCTAAGAAAAGTCAACTGGATGATATACTCCATTTAAGTGGTCATATCAGGGTAAATCTCAAAATGTCTAAGAGAGAACATGGTTTGTGCTTCAATAAATACTGTAGTTTGACCTCATGGCTGCTTTACTGCTGTATTTTCATAAATCTTGTAAATGGATACTCAGTAAAGAACTGCACTGTCAGAGGGTCTTTGAAATATGCACAAAACATAAATGTGTTTTGTAATAAGAGGTCCCTGCATTTCGTACCAGGGAATATACCGGACAAAGCCACATATTTGGACATTTCTTACAATGTCATACAGAAGATAATCAAAGAGTATTTCTCTCAACTGTCTAATCTTAAAAGTCTTAATGCACTACACAATAAGATCCGGGAAGTGGAGGAAGGAGCGTTCAGCAGCTTGGTGGCTTTGCAGGAGTTAAATCTGGCCTACAACAAACTGACAGATATCTTGGGAGGAATGTTTCAGAATCTGGGAAATCTCATTGTCTTACATCTAAATGAAAACTTGATCACAAATATCAACTTCTCTGCATTTTCACCCCTGATCAGTTTAAGAAAAATAAATCTGTCCAGAAATCATCTGAAGAAAATTAGCAAAGTTCAGCAGCTCTTTTTATTACCACAGTTACAGGAAGTGCACATTGGGAGTAATGGCTTCACCTCTTTTCACACCTCGGAGCTGTCCAACATATCTTTGAGACTACAAGTCCTGGATTTATTTCAAAATCCTTTGAAAGTGTTCAGTATCACTGCTGATATTTTCCCTCACCTTGATAATTTGGTCTTGGCTTTTATTACTGAAAACATGACATGGGATGTGCAGGACAAAAGGTATCTACAAAGTGTGCAACATCTAAATTTAAGCGGAATACAATTGCCCCTGGAGAAGATCACGGATCTCCTACAAACCTTCAACTCTTCTTTGGCCAGCCTGAGGCTACACTTTCTGGGGGATATAAAAGTGAGAGCTTTAATAAGGGACGTCTGTCTGATTTCACCTTTGAAATTTCTAGGCTTGCAGTGGAACAACATTACATCCATATCAAAAGATGAGATGCAGTTCTGCACACAGTTAACTCAGCTTGATCTCTCCAATAACAAACTATACAGTGTCCCTGCTGTCGTCAACAGCCTACCAGGTCTTCGTTTTTTGGACCTCACCTTCAACAATATTAAGAACATAAGTAGTGTTGATTTAGCTAACTTAACCCAATTACGGACCCTTCAGATTTATAGCAATGAAATATCTTTTATTGAGGAATTTGCTTTTAAAGATCTGAAAAATTTAACAACTCTAATGATTGGCTCTAACAGACTCTCTCTCAACAGATATTTTAAAAAAGATCTTCAAAAACTTGAGAATTTGGATCTAGCAAATAACAAGCTGGACTCTGTCCGTAGGGGAGATTTTGACTCCTTAAATTCACTGAAGAATTTGTCTCTACCAGACAATCAAATATCATTTATTGAAGCGGGGTCCTTCAATAGACTGACAAATTTAATTTTCCTGAATTTGCAATCAAACAAGCTCTCTCAGTGTTCAATAAAAGCTTCTGTGTTCTCCAGACTCCCAAACCTGAAAACACTTCTGTTGAACAATAACTATATTTCATATGACAGTCAAGAGCCTCTTGAACAACCACCCTTTCAATATCTGAGAAAGCTAAAGACTCTGAACATTTTTAGCCAAGGTCATAAAGGAATGCTTTATTTACCTTCAAATCTTTTCAAGGGACTGTGGAATTTGGAAGAACTTCAAGCAGAGAATCTTAATATAAATTCTTTACATCCCGATACATTTACTTATACTCCTTATCTGTGGGTACTGGATCTCAGCAGAAATGATTTTATTTTACTCACAACAAAAATATTTCTGCCACTCCAGGTCCTCAAGACACTCCACCTGTCTAAAGTCGGCTTGCAATCTTTGGACTTTCTCATTAATGCAAATCTCAGTAAACTGCATCTGTTGCATGTAAGCAAGAATGCATTATCAGTCATTAATGAGACATTGATCCGGTCTCTTCCAACATTGATTTACCTTGATCTACTAGGAAATTATCTCTCATGTGACTGTACCAATGCCTGGTTCGTCAACTGGACCATTAGTAGCAATGACACAGAAGTTGAAAGTGCTTATGAACTCACATGCAATTACCCAGACAAACTCAAAGGACATAAACTCTTGGATCTTGATATAGGTTCATGTAATGTAGATGTTGGGTTTTTCTGTTTCATTTCCACAGCCACACTAGTCTCTGTGACCCTCCTTGGCTCTTTTCTCTTTCACTTCCTCAAATGGCAGGTTATTTATGCTTACTACCTTTTCCTTGCTTTACACCATGATAACAAACAGCAGAGAAAGCCCAAGGGTTTGCAGTATGATGCTTTTATTTCCTATAACGTTCATGATGAATTGTGGGTAATGAGGGAACTTTTACCTCAGTTGGAAGGCAAGCAAGGCTGGAAGTTGTGTCTGCATCACAGGGACTTTGAACCAGGCAAACCTATCATGGATAATATTGTTGATGGCATTTATAGTAGTCGAAAAACCATCTGTGTGATTAGCCGTCACTACCTGGAAAGTGAGTGGTGTTCCAGAGAGATCCAAGTTGCTAGTTTCCGTCTCTTTGATGAGAAAAAAGATGTTCTCATCCTGGTATTCCTGGAGAATATTCCAAGTCATCAACTGTCTCCGTACTACAGAATGAAGAAACTAATTCAGAAGAAGACATATCTCAGCTGGCCTAAACCAGGAGAGGATACCAGAGTCTTCTGGCAGAAATTGAGATTAGCTCTGGAAACCAAAGGCAACTCAGAAATGGAGCCTCCCATTGGCTGGAATTAAGGGGTCATCTAACTGTATCTAACTGAAGAAAATATTCTGCAACTTCGTTGTTTAACTGCTTTTATCTTTATGTATACCATTTTTTCCCCTTCCTTCCTAGAGCATGATTGATCATCTAACTGTATCTAACTGAAGAAAATATTCTGCAACTTCGTTGTTTAACTGCTTTTATATTTATGTATACCATTTTTTCCCCTTCCTTCCTAGAGCATGATTGATTGTAATTATTTCCTCTTTTCCTAATACACATGTATTTCTGGTTAAATCAGGGATAATTGAGTTTATATAACTTTTCATTAACAGTACTTTTTTGTTGTTGTTGTTTAATGAGAATTCTTCTTTTTTGACACTGTACACAATCTGGGTCACCTTAAATCATATCATGACTAATGTATCGTTAAAACTGTATAAATGACAGACGTCTTTGATGCAGAAATGCATGTTGAATTACTCTACTCAAAATCTTGCATTAACATGCCTTACATACTGTTGTACATTCAAGCACTTAATATCTAAGCAATACACTATGATGTTGATTCTACATCATTGTTGTTGAATCAATATTGAAATTAACCAAAAAAAAGGTCATGTTGTTTGATCATTTCAATGTGATGTTGATTCTTAATCACTTTTGTTGAAACACTGAAAATACAACTGAAATGTCAACATGAAACAAATGTTGCCGTCTTATGTACCAAATTAATGTTGAAACGACATTAATATTTTGATAAATTCCTGACCATTTCAAAGTTGGGGGAAAACCTTTTAAAATGAAAATGACACATTTCCAGCCGTTGAGTCACTTTATTTATTTAACACTAGAACCGCCATGTTTTTAAAACGTACATAAAATATTTTTAATAAAACATTCAAGTCTCCCAGTCACTGACTTTTACTAAAATTGTGTGATTTACAATCCCCTGTTCTTAAAAACTGTTTAGATAAAACCAGATCAAAAAACGGGGCATTTATACTTATAAGCGCCAGCGCGGGTCCTGTATGCTCGCGCTGTCATTTTTGTGCTGCTTATGTTTTAACATAGTACATTGCTAGGCAACGCCTTTCACTCACTGAATTAGCGGTTATCAGTTTCATAAAT